TGCTGCTGCTGCTGTTGATGGTTGTTGATGTTGTTGTTGCTGTTGCTGCTGCTGCGCTGCTTACTGGTCAAGTTTACTCGGCGGAGGTTGTGACGGGAGATTTTTTTTTTTTTTTTTTCGTTAGCGGGTGAGTTTGGTCGGGGAAGCGTCTCAGCCGAGGCCAGCCCACTGCATAAAGTCCGGCACCTCTCTCACCGGAACGTCCCTTGCCAGAGCTTTTACCCTCAGGTTTCTGTCCTCCGTCAGTAGGACCACTTCCCTTCTCAGTCGCCGTGGCTGACCCTCTTCTGTTCAAACGAAAATTCGCCGGGCTCTGTTTAGTTTCCCCGAAGGAGATCGGCCGTTTGTATGAGGAAGCGAATTGGTTGGTTTTCGTTAAAACATCGGCTTACCCTCCTCGGTTACAATGTTTTTATCTACGTTATCTCGGAAAACGTTCAAGCAAACCGAAGACTCTTCTTCAACACTTGCTGTCTGATTAATATCAGAATATTAATTTTAATGTCTTGTCCGACTCGTTGAAATTCGAACGCTCATATGTAATGAGTACACAAAGTTTATATTTATATTCGTCGTTGCGAGACTCACATCTTAACTAAGGAGGGCAGCCATTGTTGTTGAAGTACGATGGATCAGAAAGATATTGATAAACACCGCGTTTTCTCTTTTAATATTTTTACGTACTAAATCTTGATGCAATGACAAGTATTTTATTTCGTTGCAGGATAGAAACACACTCTCGGCTCAAGTACAACGTCGCTGGTTTTCCCCGTCAAAAATATTGAATTGATTGCAATTTGTAATAAAAGTGTTTTATATTAAAGAAAACGAGGGAATATTTTTCGGATCCACAGTTATCTTGCATGCACTTGAATTTAATTCCCAGAATCTTTTAATTGTCCATATTTTCGAATATTGATTAGGAGTAATGGAGTTGAAGAAATTTCAGAAAGTTTAAGAGACAATTACAAATATTTGTGCGCAGTGATGATTGTACATCGGAAGACAATTATTAGAAAAAATTGGAAAATATCGGAATTATTATTAAGAAATTAAGTAATGGAAAGTTATCAAAGTCAGATTTTTGTCAATCCTACCATATCTAGCAGTTAATCTCGAGATTCATACGAAACGAATAAGTTAATGACATTTCATCGGGAAGAAAAAAGTTACTGTTGCCAGATTGCTAAACAGCAGACAAGCAAAAATATATTATTCTCATTCTCAAGTAGAACGTACGTATTTAAAATACAATAATGATTAAAAATTTCGCTTCGATCCGCGAGCAAAAGTAACGAACTGAGTCGTGTTTTCCACTATCAACGCTGATAACGTTAATCCACGCGCGGCACAGGCATTACAATCGGCCAGACGCGGTATTAATCACCATCAAAGCGTCGGGAAACGCTTGAAACGTGTTCGGAGTACGTCTGCGGAGGGAGAAATATGCAACGTACCTGCATTTACTTGATCTTTGTTACCCGCCTTGCAGAGGCTCAAGCACGTAGCCAGTATTCTGTCATCGTTCCTTGTCAGGCCGTCCTGCAACAGAATTACAGACATGTTTCGCTTATTATTTTCACGAAATGACACGCGACCCAACATCGCGGGAATTTCAATTGGCGGCGCTTCTATGTGCCCTCGAAAGGGTTTCTTCTATTGGTCTGTCTCGAGAATTTTAAGCTCCTCTAACGCCGCGTGACTTATCAGGGATGCGTGCCTCGCCCGAGCCTGATAATACCGTATCTAGCTCTATATACAGTTATGTCAATCGGATCGCATAATTTGTATCTCAATGACACGTGCAAGTTGAATTACTATGTAACTGATACACATAACACGAACTTGTCGATTAATTTAAATGATTGTCATTGCGATCGCGAGTTTAATTAAATTACTGTGTACAAGGTGAAGTTTGAACAGTTTGATCAACACTTTGAATAACTCATGCGCGATCGAATTGTTGGAAACGTTCATTTAATTTTTATTGTAAATTTTTTTTCTATCACATTTACATTTGTATATTCACTCATATTTACTCTGTTTTATATATGAACAAGTTGCACATCACTCCGTGCATGTATTTGTATTGTTTACATACAAAATAGAGAGGCGAAAAGTGAAATAAGGTAAATAAAGCTGATTATCAGATTTATTTTCAATATTATGTACGAACGAGCATGGAAAGAAACTAAAATTTTAAGAGAATAATTTAATTAATTAAAATTGTTAAAAATATAGAATAAACTCGTCATTGTTCAAAGCTTAACCCCGCTGTTTCCTTTTTGCATACATATTATGTTTCATATTTATAGATAGATAATGTACAAATAGATGTTATTAAAATATACGTAGGATATAAGGTATAATAAAAAGAAGATAGAGTTAATTTTTCAAAAAAAAAAAAAAATCGAAATGTGAGAATCGAATTCTTCAGCCTCGCTCTCGTTGTGTTTATCTGTTCCTTCAGCTTGTATGAAATTGATTCGCTCACCTTGTCAACGTCCTCTTCGACGGTGAAGGTGCTGGACGTAAGGACAGTTCCTCTGGTGGTTAAACAACGAATCGCCGGGTTTCTGCTTCGCGCGAAAGCCAAGGCGGCCTTCGCGCTCTCGGCCACCCTGGCCACGTGTTCCGGATCCAGAGTAGCTCTCGAAGCTGGAGGACAGTCCCTCGAGTCCGCGCCTCGTGCCAGGCCCTCGAGCTCGTTCAGAACTGCAACAGAAATGCAAACGTTCGATTAGTATGATTACAACTGCTGCCAGATATTCATATAAATTCCACATTTCTCGAATGGGGGGAATAGTTAACTGGGTTAAAAAACAATTATTGTGTGCTTTCGATGTAGGCGGTGAATTACATCGTCTCGCTACGATTTCAACTTCCTCAATTACTCGCTGCGCGCAAGAATATTATACAAATTCGCTCAAAGGTGTCTTGGGACACGTTTTATGTTCAATTGCACGAGTATCTTGTAATACGATTCTCAATACATTGATATTTTATAGATTCTTTGTTGCGTGAAGTGTTCATTCAACTTTTTCAAAGTTTCGAAATAAATACAACACTTGCCTCAAGATTTTCGAGCGGGCGTATAAGTGCAAGTATTTTCACAAACGACATGCGACTCAGTCGGGCAATAGGTGAGTTAACAAGTGGTGGGTTAAATGAAAACAACTACATAAAATTTTTCGTAAAAGACAATGGTAAATAGGCGAAAATTACAGAATTCGCGTTCTCGTCAATCTTAAATCAATATTTTCGTTGCTACGCTCGAGCGTTTTGTTCAAGTTCCTCTGTACTTTTCGGATGGGGGATGCAAGATAACATGGAAAGGGGGAGGACGGAATAACAGGGGTGGATGAATCTATTCTCGTGGCAAGTGGAAAAAGTTTTTTCATCGAGACTGTTGCCCAGGGGAAACAAGCGTCAACGCAGAATTTCAACGAAGGAGATTTAATAGTGTTTACTCGGACTTTGCTTGTCCAATCCCCCGTTGCGTGAAAACGAACCCCCTAACGAACTTCCTGCCGAGTCACGCGGCAGAGAAACCTGGCCATTGAACGTGTTCCTGGTTTGTGCTGGGACGATTTATTCCGACAAACAGATCTCAATGCATATAGCCCACATGTCAATGAAAAATAGAGAATCTATCGTCATGGAAGATTGTAATATTTTATTTCTAATCGTTTCATTTCGCAATCGTATTTGGGCAAAAGAATTGTCCTGGATTGACAAGAAATTGACTTGAAAATTATAAAATATATTGGTTAATAAAATTCAAGAAATTCCGTCATCACTGTGAAAATTTTTATAAAGATTCTTTACTCTGAAACTTGTGAACTCGACGAAGGTAAAAAAAAAAAAAAAAAAAAGAAGATATCAAACGTAGATTTAAAAAAGTTGAGATATTTCATTCGGATTTATTTTAACCGGATGCTGTTCTATTTATTCGACAAATGATATTACTTATTGGATTGTGACTTTAATTGTTGGTTACAGATGGAACAGCAAAGTTTCAGAAATTTCGTCATCAATGTTATCAGTAGACTGAAGATGTAAAATGTGCAAAAAAGAGCATATGCAGATATGCACGAAAAACATGCAAATATGCCTAGTGTTCATGCATATTTGCCTATTGTTCGTGCACATTTGCATGTGCATTTTGCATATCCGCATATTTCTCGTGCAAATGCAAATAATAACGAACGAAGGGATCCAGACCTCTGAAAGGTCTCCGGTTCATTTTAATTCATCTTATCGTCAAAGAAAAAAAAAAAAAAAAAAAAAAAAATGCAAAGTGCCAATGTGATTAAAACTTGGTGTTCGTTAGGTTCGTGAGATTTATTTACGTAGACAGGAAAGATGAGTTAGGTTATACACAATCGACTCGGTGATTTCATCTGCTGGGATAAGTTTAATAGAACGAATAAAATAAAGAATAATAAAGAGGATAAAACGTAGCGTACAATGAAGCACATAATAAAATATAACATATAATAAAGTATGAAATAACAATAATAACGTTTGTGCAATACAATAATATTGTTTTTAAATCGATAAAAATATTTGACAGTCAAACGTGCATTTTTCTCCAGTGCCGTTATTAAATTTGCAAGTCTCGCTGGTCACTCTTTGCTCCCTCAAATTACGAACAGCGTAATTTTATGTCGCGACATTGCACGACGTTTAATAACAATCAGGAAGCAGAGTCACGGCGCGCATAGAGGAACAATTTTCGAGTGTCTCTGACGTGCGGTAATTGGACTGTCGACGGAAATACGTGACAGAATTCCATGTATTTCTCCGTTCGTTGTTCGCCGCTGGATTCGCAATAAAACGAAAATTCGCGAAAGTTGCTGAATATTA